GATTGGAATATTGAAAAGATTGGAATATTGAAAAGATTGGAATATTGAAAAGATTGGAATATTGAAAAGATTGGAATTGGAAAAATTAGAAGCTTCTGATTTCAAAATAAAAGTTTCCAATGTGCATTACTGCATTATAGGTTTTAAAATCGATAGATCCAATATAAGTAATAAAAAAAAATATAAAAATTTTATGCACTTAGACATTATCAACCATATCTTCGTCGGGAATAGAAATCAATGGCTTAATTTCGCTCTTTTACATATATTTTACTGCAATGACATATTTAATGCGACTATTGGTTTACAAATATAGATGATTTTTAAAGATCAATTTCTATGTATATATTACTCTTATCGTACATCATAGTTAATTCGATTTTTTTAAAATGAGGATTCATATTACAGATTTTCATTACACGATTGTTTGTTAAGTACTAATTATTCTCGGGATGGTGGATTATCTCTCCTCAGTGACATGTACGTATGTCGCCACATACATGTGTCGATGTTGTATCAATTTTTTCTCTACACAGTTAAATATGTTATGAATCACTTATATAACACTTCCTTGTTCAAAAATTCCATTTACGTAATGTACTTTTTTTTTTTTAAAAAAAAGTGACGTATTAATAAACTTATGTAATAATAACACATAAAAATTCCTGTCATGCGATCATGAATAACGTTCATCGTTACCTGTTTCTTATCATTTTCTGGTATACAGTACCCGGAGTCTTATTCAATAATAAAAACCGGGTACTATTCATGAATCTACACAATTTCATTTGTGGAAAAAGGTTACTTTATGCAATATTAAAAAATATATTACGTATCAATTATTTTAGAGAATGCTGTGTACGTTAATTCGCATTTAGATTTTGTTGATTTTAAGCTTATATATCAAAAAACATTAGATTAAAATGAAATAGTGATGAGATTTGGCATCAGCGTTTTCTTTACCCTACTCCCTTCATATTTATTTGACATAAAAAGTAAAGCTTCTAAATTGAATTGTATCGGTATTATTCGTCATCTTGTAATGCAGTAACGGAGGGTACCATGTTACTATTATTATTATTATTAATTGTTATAAAATATTACGTACATTACGTGCTACAGTATTTATAAATTATGAATGCATGTCGATACAAAAAGACATAAATAGTAAGTGTAAACTTGTAAAACTTGTTTATGATATAATATAGATTATTTATATTTCAAGCTCCTAAGACAGGATTTATGGATATAAATGTATATAAAGAGGGTACGAGATATGATATCAGAATCATGAGCGTTGCCAAGATTCTAAGATTTCTTTTTATAATATCTAAACTTACTAAATTGTATATCAATTCATAGTACAAAAATAACCAATAAAAATCACGTTTGTCTATTTTGACTATTAATGTTACAGCTATATTGTCCTGAACAAGTTAGAGTTCCACCGTTAGGGTACCCACTTGCCTTCTACTGATAGATAAGACGCATAAAAAAAATATACATGTTTTTATTTTTATTACAGTATAAATTTACATATTTATATATTTATATTATTATTGTAATCTGTAACAGATTTTTTTTTTTCATTTGAAGGAACTTTCTCTCCTTGATCATCTGCTGTTTTAGATGTCAAATGATTAAGATTATGCAGTATTAAAAGAGTTTTAAAGCCCGTCTTAAAGGTTAAATTGAAATTCTTTGACTGCTTTCACTAAAAAACATCGATCAATCTAAGTTAATCAAATGCTTTCTCGTCAGATAACACTTACATTTTCCTATCTTTCAATCCTTCTAATATCTTGCGTTTCTGGTACTCATTATCTTTTTTCAGCATACAGTACTTCAATACAAGAAAGATTAGATTTTAATTCTGTACAAATAAACACTATTGGAAGTGCTTGTAATTATGGTGTATATTTGAGTAAACCATTTCTCGGTTATTTAGTTGATAATTATGGAGCTAGAAGGTTTGCTTTTATTTTTTTTCTTCAAATTTATTTGATTTATTTTTGTTATATAAAATTGTTAATTCTCTTGAATTTTATTAGAATGTGCTTTGCCGCATCGATCCTAATTTTTTTCGGTTTTTCCTGTCTTGCATTAACCTATGAACGAATGCTTCCACCATCTTTTCTTTTATGTGCTTTTTATTTGCTTTGTACTGGTGTTGCCTCATCTGGAGGTACTCTATTTCAGATTTCATTATCTAATATGATTTGATTATGAGTGATTATGAGTGCTTAAGTATGAATGCACTAATAAATAAATTAAATAAATTATATATTTTTATTAACTTTAGCTGCGGTATCATTTCTCACAACTATTGTAAGTCAACCTAAAAAAATGACGAAATCCTCTTATTGCATCATCACGTATACTCATGCGTATTGTGTAACGTAGGCAAAAAATTTTTCTTCGCATCGAGGTACCGCAATAAGTATCCCGCTCGCATTACTTGGCCTCTCTGCATTTCTATACTCTCAAGCAAATGTATACTTGTTCGATGATACTTTCCATTTTCTACTCTTCATAGCTTTCTCAGCTGGATTATCAATGTTTTTTAGTAGCTTATTTTTGGTTGTCGTGCCAGCTCCTAAAGTATCCAGCGCCTTTGAATTAGGCAGTGATGATTCAACCTCCACAGATAGTGATCCATCACGTGTAAAAGTATTAAAAACTGAACGAACTCCTCTACTCCATAAAAATACTTCTACCTCCTCAACAACGATAATTGACGATGTTGATAATGAGCCAGATATAGGTGGATGGCAATTACTTCATAATAAAGATGCCATCTCATTAATCCTTATCTTAGTATTATTGGCCGGAACGGGTTTAATGTACATAAATAATGTCGGTACAATTATTGAAGACCTTTATCACGCCTCCCCGGCTCATCCTTCTCATCCTTACTCCTTACCAACTACTACTCTCAATCCCGATCTAAAAAAGCTCCAAAGCTTTCACGTCTCATTGCTTTCTATATGTTCATGCCTCGGAAGAATTCTCATAGGTCCTTTCTCTGATATAGCAAAAAATTCTTTCAATCTGTCTAGAATTTGTTCTTTAATATTTGCTGGTGTTTGGCTATTCTGTGGAAATTTATTGGCCCTTTTATGGGTTCGAGATATGGCCCATTTATGGATTGTCACAACTTGTATCGGACTTGGTTTTGGAATCTTATACGGGGTTGCTCCAACTACTTGTAGCGAATATTTTGGTTCGAAACGATTCGGGTTTAACTGGTTAGTTTTTAAATACTTATTAGATTTAATTTTAAATTACATAATAAATTATTTGTTTACATTCATATCTAATTTATTCTACCGGTATATACTTATTAAAAAGGGGTTTAATATCTTGTGTAAGTATTATTTATCGCATTTTTTAAACCTTTCCTTTTTAAATTATTAATACCTTCTTTCACAACAAATAGTTTCCAGCTATAGGTGCTCAAGGTTTTAATCTTTTATTCGGTTTAAATAACGATTTACATAGAGATCATTGTAGAGGCGCTGAATGTTATAATTTTGCTTTTTATTTTAGTTCTATTGGTTGTTTTATTAGTATTTTTATTTCTTATCGTTGGTTTAGTGAAGTTCAAAAACAAAGAGAACACATCGAACATTAAGAAAAAAAAATATTATGTTTATTGTACAGTTGGAAAATAATATATTTATGATCTTTATTGTAGTATTAATTTATAAATTAATTTATTTCCTAACTGTATACACTATTTTTTTTTATTTTTAATTTATAATTTTTAATTTGTAAAAAATTTTATATTAATAAAGATTAGTCTAGAATGTCGTTTAAATCACGTTGGCTTCATTTTTTTTTTTCATAAATTAGTTTCTTTTTTTTATTAGAAGTCGTCTAAACTGTAAATGTAAAATAGAGTTAAAATAACATTAGAAATAGGTTGGAGTACGCGTATAAATTTGGTATGCACAAGGGCATGCCTTTGCAGGGACTTGGACAAATTGCGTAAAGATTAGTATTATTGATATTTCTCATCAAATTATCGAATAATAATAATTGCTGGTTTTGCCGACGACCAGTGAGAATCGTTAAATGGACAAACTCTGATTAAAAAATTATACAGACGAATGTTATTGAAAGTAAAGTATCCAAGAATTATTATTACATCAATAAGTTGTCTTAAAAATGTAGCGACTAGTGATGAAATTTGAGTCCCTAGTTGTAAATACTGTATAAATTCCTGCTAAATTCACCTATACTTCGTTAACTCAAAAAAATGGTCCCAACCATTTTAAAATTTCCTATTAAAATATTAATATTAAGCGATCTTTGTGACCAGGGTTGGCATGAATGGAATTCGGTTAATAACAATGGAAATCTGTCCTATGTCCAGTGTCCATGATCCAGGAAATTGAATCACTTCATACAGCATTAGCGTTAGAAAACAAAACTACGCAGATTAGCGTTGGGATAACTTACCTGACATTGCAACTTACATTGTAACATACATTATAAGTTACATCTCTCTCGTGTAAGTACAAATATATACTACTAAAGCTGGTCCGAATTATTTATTCTTCATTTTGCTTTTTTTATATAATTTATTTAATATATAGTTATTTTTTTAAAAAATATATATATTTAATATATAGTACAAATATTCTTAAGCTTTAAGATAATTTGGGCAAAAGCTATTTAATAAAGAGAATTCGTACGTCGGAATGGAATTATTGTAGATTTAGAATCCACCTAGGTTGATTCAGGATAAACGTAGATTGTAATAGAATTCTAAATTGTATTAAAGTTTTACAATATTCAGCAAATACAACAATCAAGGATGCAAAAAATCGTTATTTGGCAAAAAATACATTTGCAATACGTGATTAAAATAGTATTCTTTCAATGCTCATAGACATCGAAAAGCATCTATTATGCAATCCTCTTCACAAGTAGATAATATTGAATGCAATTGCAAAATGCACGAGAAAAAATCGCTATAAATGTATATAAAATAAATATACCCTGTAGGAATAGTTGCTATCCCACTAATCATAGATGTAAAAATTCCGTGTCATGCTTTTTAAATTTAATTAATTTGCAATGCACTGTTATGAATAAATTCTATTTTAAAGTAATTTAAATTCCAAATAACGTACTGATGAAATAATTTGGAATACACATA